TATTAGCACAATATTTACATTATCAATGAATCTAATTTTTTTTTAGCCCGACCGAGTGTTAGTTAATGTTTTTCGTATACATGCTCTATTTGGTGTTTAAAAAAATGTGCGCATCAAATACCTCGATATTGCAAAGCGCAAAAAACGTGCGGATTTAAAAATAATTCCCAGCATGATACCTTCACGCGTTTTTGAGAAAAAGGGTCTTGATAGACAGACGGACGGACAACAAAGTGATCCTATAAGGGTTCCGTTTTTTCCTATGAGGTACGGAAACCTATAAAGAATAATTTGCGTACATAACTAAACACGTAAGTCAATGGTGCCATAAGATTTATAATGGAAGTAGTGGTTATTTACTAATAGTGAGTTTCTGATACCAAAATCCCTTAAACATGTTATTATCTCTGTTATGTCAAAGATAATGAGACGGATGATGATGTTTTATACTGAGATTTCGGTCTCAGAAACCAACGGTAAGCCAACTAAAATATCAAGCATGTAATACTGGTCATTAAACTGTGTCGTTTGTCTTTGTCACTGTATTTTTAAAGGCATAAAACTTCTATAAGGACACTATTGCGATCTCTGTTTTTTTCAAAGAGAATGATAAGGATGATAATATTGTCGTTTAACAGGTGTTACGACAGCAGATTCACTGACAATACACAACTGTTACGTGGGAAAATTATTTTCTATAAGATAACGTTATCTTCAATAACTATAAATTACTAATTTAGACTTAAACCGATGCAATTAGAGTTCAATATCCTTTATCAAAACTTGACGAAAGCAATAATTAAAAGCTTGGAATTTTACAATAATCTATATCTAGAAGTATTTTGAATACAGACATATTGTTTTAAAAGATATGACATAGATGAATGAATTTAAACGAAGCGTGAGTTGAGGGTTTCCACCGTCGAAACATTTGTACAAAATTATTTGTCATCCCTCTTATTATAACTGGAAAAAAAGGGCAAAAATATTTTCCCACGCAAATGTCAGGGCAGGGGAATTTCACGTTGTCACTCCAAATGTTATAATATCTCTGCCTACCCCTGTAGGTTACATGCTTGATTGCATTACATTTATCTTACTGAGTTACGCAACATGTGTCTGGTAGTGACAAGTGTAAACGCGATGCTGTAAGATTATCAAATTTTAAAATCCTAGCTTATCTTTTACTACGACTTATCTGTTGTATGACTAACTGATGCCCCAGACTTCAGCCGCTTAAATGAATTTTTATAAAATTGGAAGTAATCATCTTTTATTAGTAATGAAAAGATTTTTTTAATCTGTTATTAATAAGTAGTAATAACTGGCGGTGGCCTGCGACTCCATCCGCGCGGAAAAAAAAAATTATTAGTAGCCTATGTGTTCTTCCAGACTTCTATATGTATACCTTCAAACAAACATCCATCCTTTTATGTAAACATTCGCATTTATAATATTAGAATGATGTCTGTATGTAATATCCTAAAAACAGCTGGTTCCATTTAAACAGGATTTTAACAGGAAGGTAGTTAATTTACGGGAGCATATCATATGCTACTTTGTATTTACTTTCTACGCTGACAAAGTCGAGGGCGACTACTAGATTTCAAATAATTATACTGAAGGCAATACATATTTAAAGATAAATTTAGTAGAAAGTATTTATCTTAATTACTAAGGCTGCTAACATTGAAACAAGACATGAATGATTAAAAAAATATACATACATATAAAAACAAAGTATATGCACATAATATTTCTATTAGTATTTTGTGTTATACATAATCTGATATCAATATGACCTTATCTGCACCCTGTTATCTAAACCAAGCGTAACCATCTTATCGAAAATACTGTAAATAATCCATAAAGCAATTTACACTTGATTTTACAACTACTAGCTGTCGCCCATAACTTTGTTCGCGCAGAATTAAAAGAAACAATTAGTAGCATATGTGTTCTTCCATACTAAATCCTACATCTATGCCAAATTTCAGCAAGACCTCCGCAATGGCTCAATGGATATTGATGAAATTTGGCACAGATATAGAACATAGGCTAGAAGAACATATCGGCTACTTATAAAGTTCTTAAAATTCAGTGTAGCCAGAGCAACAGGCCACAGCTAGTATGAATATTACTACAAATTGCATAAAAGACTATTAACACACAATTACATATTTGGACTTGTTTGTAGTTTAATTACAAATTAATCTAATCTTTATATATATATAATTCTTCTGTGAGTGTGTATGTCACTGAACTTCTCTCAAACGACTGGACCGATTTTGATGAAATTTTTTGTGTGTGTTCAAGGGGATCTGGGAATGGTTTAGATTCACAATTTTGTCCGCTGGACAATGTTTTTTTGATTGTTTTTAAATTTATTAGTAGTTGTTGATTTTGGAATGTTTTACATTGGATCCGACAGACGGCGCTACCATCACAGTGTCAAATTTTAAATAATATTCGAATTTTCAAATTAAAGACGTGTAGACAGGACAACGTCTGTCGGGTCCGCTAGTACTATAATATTTTTTTAAAACAACAACAGCAATTAATATTAGAATTCAAGCTTAATTTTACGAATAACAAGAGAATAAATACATTCCATTGTTTTTCATAATTAATAAATTGAGCCAGTGTAGTAAAGTAATGAGACACTTAATAGAATGTAAGGAATAGTGAGGAAGAAAAGGGGGCAAAGAGATGCAAGGCAGAGAAAACAAAGTGTGATCTTTTCTCTGCTCGCTAACCACATCACACTTACACCTTACCCCAATCTACTGTAAAGTTTAAATTTTATAATAGGAAAAGTATATTTTGTTGTCTATTTTGTAATTTTTAGGGTTCTGTACCTTATAGGAAAAAAACGGAACCCTTATAGGATCACTTTGTTAGTCTTTAGTTACTATCTAAATAAAAATATTAGTCTAAAAGAATCTAATTAAGATATTATAGTAACAGAGTATAATCCAACTAAATACCTGATGATAAGACGTCTCCTTCAATCACCTGAGGTGGCAGGTTCATGGCTGCAATAGTCTGCAGGCCTGGAAATATATTTCATTACATTTAATTTATATCACATGATATTTATGGTATTAATCAAATATCTCAGCAGCTCCGAACAAAGTGCAATCACTCTGAAGAACCAAGTTTTAGATGTTTCAAACTTTAAAGGAAAGTGGAAGTGGGCACTGTGCTGTAGAGTCCACTGCCAAGGTATTTGAAAATACTATACTATGTACATATTATTTACTTTGTAGTGGATCTCGCTGTATGCCTGTCTACTTTGAAATTATATTTCACAAGCCATCCCATTCAGCAACACATGTTAATGTGGCACACCAGAAACTATTTAATTAGTATGTATCATAATAGTTTTATTTTCAAACTTATCAATATTTTTAATGTAAGTTCAATACAGATAAAAAGAATACAAAAATACAAAGAAAAGTTGAGAGATATTTTACATACTTTTGAAATAAAAAATCAATTCTTTAGTAATATGATAAAACATCTGAATAAGAGATCAAAATAATAATGTTGATAAACATAAATCCAATGAGTTAATAGATAAATTAATGATTCAGGATTATTCACTATATATAAATACAATTAATGTACGTCACTTTAAAACTTTATTCATTTATAATAATAAAAAGAACTTACCAAATTGTTTCCCGTAAAATGGTAAATTAATTTGTACTTTAACACATTCCCACAAACTTCTTCATAACTTTATTTTACGCAAATATAGCGCAAGCCATTTTCATAACAATACCAGGAATATTTCAAACAATGGAAGTTAAACTTTATGCGAAAAACACTTTCACATTAGGACAGTTCATGGAGTAGGGACGTAGCCACCTACACAAAACAATAATACAGTTATTCACAACACACATTAAAAACTGACACTTTAACTTCGTAATATATACAAAATATCATTCTTGATTCAACAACACTATTTTTATATCACATAAATATGTTTAAAAAGTTACTTTTCAACACTTAAAAACTTAGAAACTTTTGAGAAATGTCGACGACTTCAATTCCAAATTTCTGACTGACAAGCGAATACCGAAGCCGGATTGGTGACAAAAACTTCAAACAAATGACACCGTGTCATAACACTAAGCAACTTCCATACAAAAATGTACACAGTGTTTAAAGCCCTATAGAACAGAATACACCGCACTGCAGTACACCGTGTCAGTTGTTGGAAACACAAAGAGATTCATACCAGTTGAAAAAATAAACAAGTTGATTTAAGTTATATTTTTTCATACAATGTAATTATAATATGTTGTGAAAAATGTTAATTAACAGTATTTTTTATTTCTTATAGCTAGCAAATTTATTATAAAAAGTAGTAATTTATTTTTAAGAACTCTCTTTTTTGTCATAAACTCTTATAGAAATTAAAATTAAATGTTGCAACACCAATCCACTGCAAACTAAAGTAACTAGGCTTGATTTATCTAATTACTCTTTTAAAAATAAGCAAGTAAGGAACAAAGTTGAAATGATTTAAAATCGCACTTCATTTTATACATTTCACCTTCGACATTAATTTGTGAATTACGGGCAACACTGGGAGCGCGAACACTTAAAATTAAATTATTTTTTTGAGTCAAATGATATTTAAACGAAATAATTATTCATGGATTGATGTGAAAAGTATTATTTTTTAACAATGTTTGAAAAAAATCGTGGTTAACTAATTTCAATGAGTTTTTAGTGAGATCGTATGTAATCAGAGGGCTTGACGACTTGATGGTTTCTCAAGTTAACGTTAAAAGAAGAATAAAAAGGTAAGTGAAAAATTCTTTTATTTTCTTTATTTTAACGTGATATAATTCGGAACAAAAAAACTGTCAGACTGACTGGAGTTGTAAATGTTTTGTTTGAATAAAACAACAGAATACGGAAATAAAAGTTTTTATTACTCGATTTCTTATAAAAATACTGACTTGATATTTATTTTAAAAGATCTAATATACACCTTTGGCTATTAGGTAACAAACTATATAAATTGTTAATACTATTTATATTTAATTATTTATCGTTGGTCCATTAAAATACAATTGTTTCGCAAATTATCTTTACACTACGCATCATATATCAAACTTGTGATTCTTTAAAATTTTAAAATGTTCAAATAGATATAATTCACTTACGGAAAAATTGTAAAATAAAACAAACTATGTAATAAAAATAGCACCTACATATTTAAGTCTCAAGAATTAAAGAGGTTTACGACTCATTACTATGCGATACAATGCAACCAACAATAAATACGAGTGCACACGACCTCATAATTTTTAAAGGTCACATCACATGATTGTGCTTTTTGCTCAACTAGGAAACTATTTAAAATACTGTCACTTACATAATAACACTTCTAATACAAAATAATCATAATTTATATCCACAATTATTAAGTACGTGACACACTTTGAATGTTATGTTGAAAGCGCTATTATAATGTAATTCAATCAAGTATTCGTATTTTAAATAATTATAGTTCTAGAACTGTCGCCAATATTGGCATCAAATGTATACACAACGTTATACTTTTCCGGTTTTTACTATATTAACGTTCGTAATATATGGGATTCTACCATGATTGTTCTGTTTGATCTCCCGATATTTCGACACACTTGCATGCGCCATGATTACGGGTTGACTATCGATAGAGTCAATCGTGGTAAGAATTCTGTTTCTTACGAATGTTATTAAATGTATACACAGTGGTTACTTTATGTTAAATGTCAAATATACCTCTTAACTTGAACTAATATATTATACTTAAGTACTTGTATGTTCACACTTAATTTCAATCGATTTTCACCAGTTCACGTATAAATTTACAAAGCAACGTCCTTGTACTTGGTCAAATCATCAGATTCGTTGCCAACTGATGTGTGACTATTACGTACATTATAAAATACTCTCTCCCTCGACCCACTGAACTGATACGGATCGTGTCTTAGCAAATTAACACCGTAAGCTGCTTCTTCCCGTTTAAAATCTGGATAAAATCGCGGATCGAAATCCGGGTACATTCTTGGATCGTATGGATACGGTCGATAATATGGATACGCGATCTCGCTCTTACAATCCATTCTATCATCGTATGGATCATAGCTTTTTGGTGGGTATTCGTCATTGGTGAATGCGCCGACTACAGAATGTCTGCGTTTGTATGGGTTGTCGTGTGACCTGGGTCCAACCCAAGTTCCGTATGTCTGTGGCGAGGAATACTGCTTAGGGTAGCCACGCAGGCTGGCGGCGTACTGTCGGTCGGATAAGTGTTGCCAGTAAGCAGGTGGCGGTTGCGGTAGTACCATGGGGTAACCGTGGCTCATCGACTGACGCGTTGCTAAGTGACGACGGAGGTCGGGCATCGAGCCAGATTTACCTAAAACAGAATTATACCATCTTCTTACTAAATGTATTAATGCGAAAGTTTAGGTGGATGGATGGATATTTGTTTGAATGTATCTTCGGAACCGCTAAACGGATCTTAATGAAATTTTGCACAGATGAGGAACATAGTCTCGTATAGTAATTTTGCGTGGATGGAGTCGTGCTTGACAGCTAGTCATATTATAGTTCTAGGAAAATAGCTCTCTCTTCTAATGATTGGTACTTTAACATTTATAAAGCTCTTTTAAAATATGGTATCAACGGACAATGATTACCATTATCTGGCAGGAAGCCATCATTGGTAAACGCACTGGGCGCCTCGGGCACGTAGTGGCTGGCGTCAAACTCACTGCCGCTCACCGGGGCGCCATTCACATAACCTGATTTCCTGAAATATTGATAATAATACAATTATTATTGTTACGTAGTTCCTATAACCATTTAGAAATGTTATTAAGTATCGTTCCTTTACATTGTATGTAATACTGACATACAAGAACACTTTAAATTGATCTGACCCCTCCGTACACGAGTCGAGCCCCTACCAAGGGGCTCCCGCTTGCCAGGCTGTGGATAAACTGACGTAGATGCCACGGTCGGGTCGGGCGAAGGAGGACACCGCGGGGATTAGTGGGTACTCCAGCCTTAATCCCAGGCCGGGAGTCCCACACGAAACCGTCCCTGCTGCCCCCGCAACACGGACGGCGAAGTGCATGAACGCATTCCCCGTAACAAAAAAAACCACTTAAAACTGAAATCAAAGTGTTGACCTATTAAATTCTCTCTTTTTAGCTAGGATTCCACATTATACCAATTTGTCTCTTCTACTTCGCTCTGTCCCCTATATGTTCGTTTGGGACTTTACCACCCATGTCTTACCTAGCCTCTCTAAGCGCGTACGCAGACTGTACAAGCACCACACCACATACGATGGCCGGCAGACGGGCTACGTAACACGCTAGCTCCGCACCGCCGTACACTCCTTGAAGACCCTGGAATGTTATGATAGGAATATTAGTTGGCTTAAAACTGCCTCATCTGCTCTAAACTGTACAAATCGTTGTAAACTTTGTTCTTTGATACCTCAAAAAGACATTTCCATCTGATGCGTAACAATTTTTAAATAATAAAATGCAACTTACCCAATGACTAATAGACATGTAGAAGACGAGCGCACATTCTGGTATCAGCACCAATATAACAGCTATCAGCCACGCCAGCAGGTATGTGTTGTTTTTCTGAAACATATAAGTATTTATGTTGAAAATATTAGCGTAGCTATAGACAATTGTTAAGGAAAAGTAAGTCAAACAGAGCAGAAATACTGGTAAGTGAAATAGCTAACAGCTTATAAACTATCATAGAGCTTGATTCAGATATGATGGCTGATACAGACATATGGAGGAGTAGAAAATACTATGCTGACCCTCCGTAGGGATAAAAGCAGGTTGATGATGATTACGTGCAATAGCAAATCCATTAGTAATGCATACAGATATATGGATAAGCAGAAGAGGTGCATACTAATTATATGAGAAGCACAGGTAGTAGATATGAAAGTAGAAGCCAGCTTAGTGATAGGTAAGTACAAAATATCTTACAGATATAAGTCCATGCACCAGTGTGACGGTGGCAGCGATGACAATGCAGTAACAGATCATTAGCAACGCTGAGGCGACCGGCAGACCACCCTGAGATTCCACCACCCAGACGATCTCGTAAATCAGCGCGATCGCGTAAGCCACCTGCAATAATGTTCAACATTAGAGTCCGCAGGAATGCTACACAATTACACAGCTCGTCCAGTGCAATACAACACAGAAGAGAAATGTAATGCAGGATTATTTTCCTCTCGTAATCTCTTCTCCTTTCCACAATTTGTAATAAGGAAAGGATAGGGAAGTATATAGCGGAAGTAGATTTGGCAAGGGAGATGATGTCTAGCATGAGAAACTATCGCATGTATTTTATGTATATCGTCTCCTGAAAGATCCATTAAAGGCAAGCAAGGCAATGCATCTGCAAATGATCACGAGGAAAATAGGAAGGAAATGCTTTTGTTTACATGCCTGGACGATAAGACGTCGTATTGGACTTTATAAACTATCCTAAAGCTTTTATTGCCACTATAACTTATTACCATTCCAAGCATAATTTCGTTACAAAATTGCATAATATCCATATAAAAATGTTAATCGCGGATTGCAATCGTACCGGCCATCTAATGTCTGTCGGAAACCAGCCTCCGATCTGTTACGTATTCCGAACGGGCGCAGCGTTTACTCTCGCTCGCACAGTTTCAACACGACGTGAGATAATCGTATAGCAACAACCAGTTTACCAAAGACATGGTATACTGACCAATTATGTAGTTTTCTATATCATAACTCACATGAGTAAAACTAATCGAGTATGTAACCTAAATCTGATGGCATCACAGAGGAATACATACATGCACAAGTAAACTCGTACGGGCTTAAATTTAATAATGAAATCTTACTATTAGAAATGCGAATGTTTGGATAGATGGATTGATGATTGATAGATGGATTGATGTTTGAAGGTATCTCCGGAACGGCAGCATGGGTGTGGCTGCAATTTGGAGTATGACGTAGTAGAAACATAGTCTGGTAGAACACAGGCTAACTATTTTTTTTTTAAATTTGATTCCGCGGACGGACTTGCGGTCGACAGCTATTTACATAATAATACTATCTGCTGCATTCACAGTAATTTAATGGACACTTAAGTAATACTAAATGACACTAATCGTATATTAACTAAGTAGTAAATAAACATCTCTTACCAGGGCATAAGCTGCAATAAATCCAGAGGCGGCAGTAACGCTGCAGCAAAATATTCTACTAACTGCAGGCTTCATCCGCAGTTTGGGTGATGAGTCCATATCACTCAAATCGTTACTCGTCGACATTTTTTTCTATCCTTTCCCTCTTTTATAATTTTGACATATTTCTCTGCGCGCTTATTGGTCCCCGAGTGACGTATTTGACAGATTCTGGTTGTGTTTTTAGGTTATCAAATATTATTTATTGTTATCATTTTATGTTTTATAGATACTTAGATTATAGATAAATAATATTAAGCTTTAGTTCTTATAAACAATGCTTTTCTAAAGACCAAAAATTGTACGTTTCATTCTTGATGGTTGCCAATTTCCTTTTTTCCGAAAGACCATTTCATCTCAATTCCAATTGAGAAGATAGTTTTCTATTTATCTAGCGAAGGTTTTGACATTTGCATGGTTCTGAAAATTAAAAAAAAAACAATTAATAAGTGATCGTTATATCAAAAAGTCACCACAGACCCACTGAGAGGCCCATGTCTATTCTAAACTAGGAGTGCCTAGCTCTTTGTTAAGGCCGATTTCTTTTTAAGTAAAGCATTAAACTAATGGACTTGAAAAGGTGAAAAAAATGTGTTTCTTGTTAGACTTAACATTTGTAAAGAGGGCGTTGATTCTATGAGAAAACTAGTAGTCATTGACTTTGCTAATGAATTCTGGGAACCTTTTTTGCTAACATTACATAACGAAATATTTGTTCATGACTTGTTACGACAAGCTCCGTTAAATAATAACATAATATCAACTAATAAAAGTACTATCGCTCGCGGTATAGCTTGAGAATAGTTTTAAGAACAAAATATAAATATACTATACACACGAAGGTAAATGTTACGGCGCGTTCCTACTATTCTAGGTATAATATAGATTGGGCCGCGGACGACAGCGAAAGCGTGTCCGTGGTCCCGTCCCGATGCGTTGGAGGAACCGAGGGGTTTAGTGGGTATGCCTCCGCTATGGAGGAGAATCCCACATAACTACCACGTCCCCCCCGGGGCGCGGAGTATGCACAAAGCATTCCCCTCTAAAAAAAAAAGGTATAATATAGATTAACACACATTGTATTATTACTTTAGCTATGTACAGTCAGGGCCCTTCGCAGTGTTCTATTTACAGAAATATTGCCTTGTTCCTTAGAACCAGACAACCTACGCCTTGCAAAATAACTAATTACCTAATATTGAGTAGCGCAAACAACGTTATAATAGTAAAAAGCAATTAGTCATATACCACAGACCGACTTTTTTTGATGCTTTTAAGATGGTATACCGGCAAATTCCCAATTTGTAGAACTTTGTAATATCGTATATAACTTGCGAGACAAAGCTTAGTAAATACTTTCTTGTATCATTCTACTATAATTACCCTTGGGTATGACTCTTGAGTCATTTCCCACAGGATTCGTGAAGGGAGTGATGTCATATCTCTGATTATTTAACTGGCGGTTATAAGCTAGTTATTTATATAGCTTCCGTGTACAGACTTGTCTCACGCTGATTTTCCCATATGGGATTTGCTTATGATGTGAATTGAATGTTTTATTTAATTAAAAAGAAATGATGGATGCGTGCGTGTCTGGGAAACCAGAATAGTCTCTAAACATCCTTTCTCAGTTTCAATCCGCTGATTTATACACAGATTTGTTTTAAAAGGTGATAATAAAGGTTTACTTCTATGGGTTCCTCGGACCTAAATACCCGTTTAAAATATATTGCTATCTTTGTTTTATCAAATATACTGACAGGGATGACGATATGTTTTATACAGAGATTTAAGTTTCAAAAACCCACGGTTACCGTTAACTCAGGACTGTTTATATTGGATAAAAAGTGATAAGATGTAGGACCCCAGAACTATAGAAAGAGTGACTGACTTAAAGAAACACACAGAAATTTATTGTATCTTTATATTTCGTAACAAAAGTTATAAAATATTCGTAAACACGTAGGCGGATTGTTTATGTAAATATTACATTCCGATATTCAATAAAATTAAAGTGAAAACGTAACAATTCACGTAAGAGCTGCGTGGTGGAAATAACAATTAGAATGTTTAAAAAAAATGTTAACGGAGTCATTTGCCAAATAAAGCTTATTTTTTTCTACAAAAAAGCCATTTACCTAAAGATCCAATATGCTACTTTTAATATCACGCCGCTCAAGAACAAATATGCACTTAAGCGGGTGTCCCTGCCTAATGGAATAGGCAATCAATTGGCACAATAGGGAAACACCCAATTAAATATATTAATCAATTATTATTTATAATTTTGAACTTAAATAAATTACTATACCTAACAAAGTAAGTTGTATGCCAGTCTTGTTTAGGAACATTGTATACATTCATTAAGTTTAAAAACGAGTTGGTAATTTACGTATCTTGAAATGCCTTTAGTATGGAGAGTAAAAGTTGATGTTTACATACATGGGAGTAATTCTACTGAATCATCGCGAAAGTGTTTCCTAGCTTCCTAGTTTACGTGTGCATTCATTAAATACTTTGCGGTTGTGAAATGTCACTTGAAATGCCCTTGTTGATAAATACTACGACTAGGTATAGTAGCAACTTAATATTATTAAAAGTTTTGTATAAAGTTGATACGTATGTTAGCGGATCATCGGATCATCACTAGATGTGATTAAATTCGTCATTTTACAATCTAACGAGAGATAGAACTTCACGTAAATTCTGATATTATATTGAAGATAGATTCTAAAGATCTCACTATTTTACTAATATCATAAATGCGTATGTTTGGATGGATGGCTAGATGGATGTTTGTTACAAGGTATCTTCAAAATGGCTCCATAGATGTCGTTGAAATTTGACATAGATACAGATGGCAACACTAATTAAGTTTTTATTATAATTCCGCGCAAACGTTGTCGCGGACATCTAGTAGGTTATATATTCTGTATATTTGAACGAAATCACAATATATACCTAAAAATTATTAGTTAATGTGCAAAACAACCGCTACAAAGAAATTGTGAATACCTGTAACAAGATCTGGCATTACTGGTACATCAAAAACAGGATTTTTGTACAAAAAAAAACTACAACAAATATCCAGATTCAATTTAAAGATACTGTCCTTTAAAAGACACAAAACTTTAAAAAGCATAAAGTAAAAAAATAAAACATGTGGCCCAATGTCATTCAACTTTTGGAAACAAAAAAATCAAAACTTAAAGAGATAAAGGTGATAATTCCTTGGCAAATATTCCTTCATACACAATTCACTTCACGTAGTTTAAAGGTACAGTTCTATTGAGGCTTCTGATATTCCAAGCACGTAGACCATAGCGTCTGCTTCCACGGAAGTCGGTCTAACTGTTAATATGACGTTTTTGTAAAATGAAACCTATTGTGTATAGTATTTAGGTCGGTATTTGAGGTCAATGGAAAGTGGTAGATAATGCTTTTGAGTATGGAAAACCTCTGGTTTTGGTTAAAATTAATAAATGTGTTACAGAAAAACTCTTAAAAAGTATTATTCAATGCAGTTGACATTAAATTAGACTTAAAGTTAAAAGTACCAAATCATTGTTACTGTAATTTGATGTATATTTAAAAAATCTTTTCACATGTACATTAAATATCAGATATAACATAAAACATAACACGGTCTTAAACCCTCTTTAATTCATTGGCGATTTATACCACGCACTACGTTACAATGACCATGAGATTGTTCCGAATAGAAGGATCGTATTAATACTTCGTGAAATTATTTTTTCAAATAAAAATTCTGTTCGACAAAAATGTTCACTTTATTATAAGTACTTTTGTATATATGAATATGTTGGCATTTGCAATAGTTTATTGTAAATATGATTTTATAATTAAATTATTTTTAGACATTATTAGTTAGAATCCTTTGGCGCGAATGTGCGCTTTTCTTACCAAGTCAAATGTCAGATTGATTAGTGAGGGGACATAAACTTCGACATTTTAGTAAGGCTAGTGTTGCGCCGATACATCGACACAGTGTCAGATTTTCTTTCTACATCTCACTATTTAACCAAAATATTTCATCGTGTCCATTTACTTGACAATCACAAAATGTTTCAGAATGAAAATTCAAACTAAACCAAGTTACAAAAGAAATATTATGTTTTTCTTTTCTGTTAGTTTAATTTAAAAAATCTAGTCCATCAAAAACCTTCGACATGGTCACCCTAAATTTTAACAGTTACACGATATAGTTACATCCTTCCGTGTATTGCGTGAACAGTAATTATAAATATTGCTCCGTATATTACGATAATCTATCATTCGTTATGCTAGTTTCACACGAGGGTAGTACAATAAGACAGAGCAGTACAGCAGTACATTATAGTTTCGAATTTGCTTATCCAATAGCGGTACTGAATATCAACTGCTCCGGCTTAATGTTCTGTCCTCGTGAATAACAGAATTTGCATGCTGCGAATGTTACATCTTTTGTTTATGCAAATGGTAATAATACAGTTATGTAATTGACATTGCAAGTATCATTAGGGTTCCGTACTTCATAGGAAAAAAACGGAACCCTTATTGAATCACTTTATTCTCCGTCCGTCTGTCTGTCAAGATTCTTTTTCTCAAAAACGCGTGAAGGTATCAAGCTGGAATTTATTATAATTTGAATTGTATTACAATGATTAATGGAAAGGACTTTCTCTACGAAAACCGCAGCGAGGTTAATTGATTTTATAAACAGTAACTAATGCTACGTGTTGGTATTACGGAACTTTCTTAAAAAACTTAGCCGTCGCCCCTGACTCCGTCGCAGCGTTATGATATATAGCCTAAAGCTTTCCTCTATAAATGGACTATCCAACAAAAAAAGAATTTTTCAAATCGGACCAGTAGTTCCTGAGTTTAGCGCGTTTAAACAAACAAACAAACTCTTTCGCTTTATAATTATTAGTATAGTACATTACAAATCAATTACTTCACTGTATTTAAGGCAAATGGATTTAAATTTAAAATAAAACAAGTATAAAATAAACTGAATAAAAATTGCTGTAATTAAATAACATAATATTTTTTTTCTTTGGCACTAATTTACTTCACAGGGCCGGCGTTAGGTTAAAGCTAGGTTAGGCTACTTGCGCTGAACAGAAAGAGGCGCCACATATCTGCGAAAAACCCACGTAACCCAACCCCTCTAAAGGCATGGCATGGCAAAGAGCGGCATAAAAATCTCGCCCAGGGCGATATTAGAACAAAAACCGTTATTGACTATACCTTCGCACAAATCAATGAAAGTACTAAAACTGTATAGATTACTAACACAAAAATAAATGGTAGGCTCACGTATACATGAAACGTATTATACGTATCATACGTCAAATTAACGTTCTAACGTCGTGCATACTTAAAAAAAATGTGTCAATTTTTATAGCATGTGCCCG